CAACTTACCTGCTACACCACAGCACCAGCCCCCTTCAACAATTTTTTAAAATATTTATTTGAAAGGCAGAGTTACACAGAGGAGAGACAGAGATTTTTCATCCACTGATTCACTCTCCAAATGGTGGCAATGTCCAGGGCTAAACCAAGCTGAAGGCAGCAGCTAAGAGCCAGAAGCTTCTTCTGGATCTCCCTCATGGGTGGCAGAGGCTCAAGGACTTGGCCCATCTTCCTCTAACTTCCCGTTCACATTAGCAGAGAGCTGGAACAGAAGTAGAGTAGGTAGGACTTGAATTAGTGGCCATATGGAGTGCCAGTGCTTCAGGCCATGGTTGAACTTGTCACACCACAGCTCCAGCTCCAACAATGAAATAAATAAATAAATAAATAAATAAATAAATAAATAAATTTTAGGTGTTTCAGTCGTGCAATAAAAGAACTATCACAGAGACAACAACACAGGTGAATCTCACAGTGAAATAATTTAGATATACAGACACAAATGTTGTATGAGTCCAAAGGGACAAAAGTAACCCATGGTTTAAGCCACCTCTGGGTGAAATGAGGGGTCTGTGACTGTAAAGGAGCACTGCTTGGCTCTTGAAACTCTAGTAGCATCACCCTTATTGATCTGTGTAGGCGTTCTTTATTTGCATATCATTTTGTGATCATTTAGCCATACAATCATTTCTAAAGATTGTTTCCATGTTTCACTTCATACTTTTGTTTGTTTTACCTGATAAGTAAAATAAAAATAATTTCTTTGTACTTTGTAGGAATTATTAAATAGCACCCTACTGAAACTTTCTTTAAAGCAAAGTTTTTGTGTTTTATTTACTAAAAAGTGAACTCTTGAAGGTAAGTGTTGCCGTCTTAGTTTGCTTTGATTCAGCAGTATTTAAACTCTTTTTAAATAAGTTACAGGTGTTTGATATATGTTTGTTAAATTAATAGATGACTTTAGCCTTTTAAATTTGTGATGTGAGTGCAATATCAAGTTCTATCCTACAAAAATGTCTTCTGATTGACTTTGGTCTCTTGGCTGTCTTGCAGAGCCTCTGTCAGATTGGCCTTAGTTTAATCTGCTTTTGGCTGTGGATTAAATCCTCAGGATCTTGGGACTTTTCCTTGTAAGGCAACCATACAAACTGGGTCAAGAGTCTCATGGAACTCTCTGTGGTACTGAAATTGTTTCTGCCTTGGAGGCTTTGCAACCTAATTAACAGCACTGGAGAAGGAAAAAGAGCCAGGGAAAAGAAATGGAACAGAGTTAAAGATCTGCAGCTTGTGTTAGCACTGAGTTCCAGCATGGATGTCTCCCTGAGGATCACTAACGGAGGAGAGGAGCAGTGAGCTGTTGTAAAGCAGCCTTGTGAGTCCTGTTTGACGCCACCCTTAGTTTGTTCTGGTCCTAACACAATTATACCACAACCACATTTCACCAAGTTGAGACAACTTGACTATTTAATTGAAGGAGATAGATAAATGAAAACATAAATGAATAGGGGACAGGGTTGCATTGCGTAAGAAGTACAATTCTGATTTTATCCTTACTCAACTTTCATTCCAAAACTTTTCTAAACTTTACTCTTACTTCTTGTATGCACAGTTTCTTTTGTCTTTATTTGGTCCAAAGAGTCTACTGCGATGGCTATGTGATATTAATTATTTTGGATTTCAATAAATCAAAGATTTATTTACTTGAAAGGCAGAGTTATGAGAGAGAGAAAGAGAGAGAGAGAGAGATATCTTCCATCTGCTAGTTTATGCCCCAAATGGTCACAATGGCCAAGACTGGGCTAGGCTGAAGTCAGGAACCAATAGCTTCATCTGGGTCTTCCATGTGGGTGCAGCAGCCTAAGCACTTGGAGCATTTTGTACTGCTTTCTCAAGTGTATTAGCAGTACACTGGATTGGAAGTGGAACAGCCAGGACTCAAACCAGCATCTATATGGGATGCCATTGTCACAGCATCATCTAAACCTGCTGCACCACAATGGTGGCCCTTGGATCTTAATTAATCCATAAAGTTGTATTTTCATAGCTACTTTTAAAATGTGATTTTCTTCTGATTTTGTTCTCACATTTTGAATTTGTTTGGAAAATGGGGGAATAGACAAATTTTAAGTTTTAACTACTCTCCATATATTTTAAAATTATTTTAGTACACATTTTATTAACCATCAGAGTAGTGTAGAAAGAATGTGGCTTTTCTTATTGGTGGCTAAATGTTATGAAACTCCAAGTGTATTTCACAGTCCTATTAGTAATACACATTAGAACAGAGACTAAAGATTTGGTATTAAGCATTCCAGGTGTGGTTTTAAGCATCACTACTTCACTCACTCATTCATTCAGCACATAGTTACCAAATGCCTTCTTTTTGCTGGACATTGGGCAATGTTTTTTGAACATGGTGATGAACAAAACAGAATAAGGTGTGTTTTCTAACCTGCTTAAATCTCAAATTCCTCCCCTTAGAATGAAGTTAACAGTATCCTATTCCATTACTCAGTTGTGGGAATTAAATGGGGTTAAATACTCAATGTTACTATGTACCTGAACAATGGTCAGTGAATATTAATCTTTATCATATTTTTCAGTTGTCTACATCCAATGACAAAACATGCAGTACGTTAAATGCATTGACTGCTTAGTGTTTTCAGTTGCTTCATAGTCTAAAGTAATTCAAGGTCTAATTGAGCCAGTCTTGTAATTATAGCAATCTTTACAGTAGGATTGTAATAAATTGTGCATTTCCTTTAGGTACAAAAGAGAACATTTATGGTCATTTCTATTCATTGGCCATTTGATGGGCTTATAGATGCTGACAAGCTTTAAGGGCTTTATTTGTGTTCCCTTATTGGAGTTTCTCTTCCATTTGATTTGCATTTGTATTCCCTTAGTGTGTCCAAATCAACCATATGTATAGCATACATAAATGCTCATAGCGAATTACTTATTTTTAAATTTCCCTTTATGAGAATTTGGAGAAGGCAGCTGATCACATTTATAAACATGTTGGCGCTGATTTTATGAGCATCTTCATCTCCTCATCTTACTTTTCTTGTTACTCCCAAGCTGTTTGAACTTTTTGTCATGTTTCCAACTCCAGAAATGCAAAGGTTAAACTTCTGAGTCATTATTGACGCAGGGAAGTAAAATCATGTCTTTTGTTTCTTATCCTTAAAAATTTTTGTTGAGTTGCAACCAAATATACCCATATCTTGCAGATAAATCCCTCATTCACACAAATGTGGTTTTTGCATAACTTTCTTGTCAATATAATGTGTGCAGCCTCTAACAAAGTTTCTAAATTGCCCTTTTTCTGAATACCACAACCTTGTTCACTCTCCCTCAACACTTTATATTCTGCTTTGCTTCCCGTGCTATCCCATGATGATTAGTCTTCGGAATGCTCCTTTCTAATTTTAGTCCTGCCCCCAACATCATGTCTTCAACCTATACCTAGCTGCTTCACTGAAATATTCCATCTCGTCTTCCTTTCCCCACCGACATTCCACAGTGTCAGTTAGAACACCAATTTCACCTTAATTTCCATTGCCTTTGATTAGAAACAGCATAGAAAAACACTGTGCTTTTTTGGTATTCTATATTAACATCCACATATCAGAGAAAACATGATATTTGTCTTTTTGGGAACAGGTTTTTTTCTACTTTTTACTTGTTGAACATTATGGTTAGTGGTGTATTAAGCCTGTGATTATAAAATACATTGAAAGTATGTTATGGCAAAAATTAAAAACAAGAAGAAAGGAGGGAATGAGGATGATTGAGGGAGAGAAGGAAGTATGATTATCTTCTTAGAATTGTATCTATGAAATACATAAAGTCTGTTCTTTTTAACAAACAGAAGCCATTTGTATATTTTTAAAAGTGTATTCTCCTCCAGAGATTCAGTTGCAATGCAATTGAAAGTTTAGGAATTAAATTGAGTATTTTGAGGCTAATAAACCATAATATCATCCTGATTCTATGTGTTCTTCATAAAAACCTCCTCAGAGATAAAGAAATCAGTTGATGAAAACTGCTACCACATATCTTCAGTTCACATGGTAAGTGGCTCATGTTTCTGTGGCTTGAAGAGAGGTTTTCCACAAGAAAATGCACTGTGTTTCTTTGTTAGCATAGGTGGTGAAGGTCATGTTTTCTCTACAGATTTGAATATAAACCTCCTCTTGTCAATTACTATAGGTCTTATTTTTAACCAGAGTCAAGTAATTGATTTCCGAGGACACTCTGGCAGTGACATACTTGCTGTCTTAGTGTCATTTCCCCTTGCTCTTTAGATACTTGATTAGCCACCATGTGATAAATATATAAATGAAATCCCTGCCCTCAAAGATTTTGTACATTTTAATCCAGATTCTATGTTACTTTTGTTACACCAAAAAGATACAAAAACGCTACCCTTGGATCACATTCAAGCCACTTCAGAAGCTTACATTAATTTTGTGCGTTGCAGAGGGACATTATTCTTCTAAATCTCATCTATTGTGTAAGGAGCATTTCTTCCTCTGCCTCCATCATACAGGGTTTGGAGTCACCCAGATCTCTGTTCCAAAGGGCATTTATAGGCCATGGCAGAAGATATTTGGGCAGTCATTTGCTTCTGTGGGACTGTAGCAAAATGAATATTGTGTCCATATTAAGTCCCAAATGCTTTACAAGACATGTCATCACTGTTAGCAATTAAGATATGGTACCCATTCCTCTCCAACTCAATACACCTCTTAAATGTCCTTTTAAATGTATTCTATTGTATTTTTAAAAGCTAATTCAAATGACTTTAGAGAATTTTGCTGTTCTTTGAAATAATCAACAGGAACCAGAGTATCATTAAGTAGTTTGGGGAGTCATTTTTTATTTTCTTTCTTTTTTTTTTCTCTTTGTGCTCAGGTGTGGGGTGGGGTGGGGTTCAAACACACTTGGGAGCAGCTGATGTGACAGTGGCAAGTCGCATCATCGCCTTACGGGGAGAGCAGATGAGAATGGGCGCAGGGGAAGCAGGGCTTGGGGTCCTAGAACGAGCGTTCACACAGAGGTCTCCAGGCTGTACAGAGGGCTGCCGGCCGACAGAGTCTTGATCCAGGGGAATGACCTGAAGAATGACGAGAGCTCTCTCACGGGGGAGTCCGACCACGTCCGGAAGTCCCTGGACAAAGACCCATGCTGCTCTCAGGGACCCATGTCATAGAAGGCTCTGGCCGGATGGTGGTGACCGCTTTGGTGTCAACTCGCAGACCGGGATCATCTTCACTCTGCTGGGGGCCAGTGAGGATGACGAGGAGGAGATGAAGAAGAAAGGTAAAAAACAAGGAGTCCCTGAAAATCACAACAAAACAAAGACCCAGGACGCTGTGGCCCTGGAGATCCAGCCACTCAGCAGCCAGGAGGGGGCCGACAACGAGGACAAGGACAAGAAGGCCAGCAAGGTGCACAAGAAGAAGTCGGTGCTGCAGGGCAAGCTGACGCGCCTGGCCGTCCAGATCAGGAAAGCCGGTCTCATCATGTCCGCCGTGACCTTCGTCATCCTGATCCTGTACTTCATGATCGACAACTTCGTGATCCAGGGCAGACCGTGGCTCACCGAGTGCACCCCCGTCTATATCCAGTACTTCATCAAGTTCTTCATCATCGGCGTCACCGTGCTGGTGGTGGCTGTGCCCAAGGGGCTGCTGCTGGCTGTCACCATCTCCCTGGCCAACTCTGTAAAGAAAATGATGAAAGACAACAACCTGGTGCGGCACCTGGATGCCTGTGAGACGATGGGCAATGCCACGGCCATCTGCTCCAACAAGACCGGCATGCTGACCATGAACCGCATGACTGTGGTGCAGGCCTACATTGGGGGCACCCACTACCACCAGGTGCCCAGCCCCGACGTCTTCCTGCCCAAGGTCCTGGACCACATCGTCAATGGCATTGCCATCAACAGCGCTTACACATCCAAGATCCTGCCTCCGGAGAAGGAGGGAGGCCTGCTGCGGCAGGTGAGCAACAAGACCGAGTGTGATCTGCTGGGCTTTGTCGCAGATCTGAAGCAGAACTACCAGGCGGTGTGCAACGAGGTGCCCGAGGAGCAGCTCTACAAGGTGTACACCTTCAACTCGTTGCGCAAGTCCATGAGCACAGTCGTCCGGAAGCCTGCCGGCGGCTTCCACATGTACAGCAAGGGCGCCTCGGAGATCATGCTTCGCAAGTGCAATCGGATCCTGGACAAGAAGGGGGAGGCGGTCCCGTTCAAGAACAAGGGCTGCTACGACAAGGTGCACAGTGTCATTGAACCCATGGCCTGCAAGGGGCTGCGCACCATCTGCACAGCCTACTGGGACTTCGATGACGCTGAGCCCTCCTGGGACAACGAGAGCAAGGTCCTCACCGAGCTCACCTGCATTGCCATCATGGGCATTGAGGACCCTGTGCACCCAGAGGTCCCAGAAGCTATCGCCAAATGCAAGCAAGCTGGCATCACTGTCAGAATGGTGACCAGGGACAATGTCAACACAGCCCGAGCCATCGCCACCAAATGTGGCATCCTGACATCTGGTGATGACTTCCTGTGCTTAGAAGGCAAAGAATTCAACTGACTCATTCGCAATGAAAAGGGAGAGGTAGAACAAGAGAAGCTGCACAAGATCTAACCCAAGCTTTGGGTCCTGGCCTGGTCCTTGCCCACAGACAAGCACACGCTGGTGAAAGGCATCATTGACAGCACCGTTGGGGATCAGCGGCAGGTGGTGGCTGTCACCAGTGATGGCACAAACGATGGGCCGGCCCTCAAGAAGGCAGACGTTGGTTTTACCATGGGGATTGCAGGCACAGACATGGCAAAGGAAGCCTCGGACATCATCCTCACTGATGACAACTTCACCAACATTGTCAAGGCCGTGATGTGGGGGCGGAACGTCTACAACAGCATCTCCAAGTTCCTGCAGTTCCAGCTCACCATCAACATGGTGGCCGTGATCATGGCCTTCACGGGTACCTGCATCACTCAGGACTCCCCACTGAAAGCCATGCAGATGCTGTGGGTGAACCTGATCATGGACACTTTCGCTTCACTGGCCCTGGCCGCCGAGCCCCCCACCGACGCACTGCTGAGGCAGCGCCCCTACCGCCGAAACAAGCCCCTGATCTCGCGGACCATGATGAAGAACATCCTGGGCCACGCCGTCTATCAGCTCACCGTCATCTTTTTCCTGGTCTTTGCTGGTGAGAAATTCTTCAACATTGACAATAGGAGGAAGGCCCCACTCCACTCGCTGCCCAGACAGCACTACACCATCGTTTTCAACACCTTCGTGCTGATGCAGCTCTTCAACGAGATCAACTCCCGCAAGATCCATGGCGAGAGGAACGTGTTCGCCGGCATGTACCACAACCTCAACTTCTGCTCGGTGGTCCTGGGCACGTTCATCAGCCAGGTTCTCATTGTGGAATCTGGGGGCAAGCCCTTCAGTTGCACAAAGCTCAGCCTGTTGCAGTGGCTGTGGTGTCTCTTCATTGGGATTGGAGAACTCCTGTGGGGCCAGATCATCTCTACGATACCCACGCAATCCCTGAAGTTCCTGAAGGAGGCCGGGCACAGCACCACCAAGGAGGAGATCAGCAAGGATGCCGAGGGGCTGGATGAGATCGACCACGCCAAGATGGAGCTGCGCCGAGGCCAGATCCTCTGGTTCCAGGGCCTGAACCGGATCCAGACCCAGATCAAGGTGGTCAGAGCATTCCATAGCTCCCTCCACGAAAGCATTCAGAAGCCCAGGAACCAGAACTCCATCCACAACTTCATGACCCACCCTGAATTCGCCATAGATGAGGAGTCGCCGCAAACACCCTTCCTAGATAAGCAGGATGACAGTCTGCACGAGGCCCTGGACTCTGGGTCCAAGGTGTTCCCGCCGGACGGTGACAAAAACAACAACGCGGTGGACTGCAAGCCATCGCCAGCCGCCGCATCCCGCTCCGACAGCCCTCTGTACAGCCTGGAGACCTCCGTGTGAACTGCTTCTCCTTGCTCCAGTCCTTGAAGGCGGTCACCAGCACCACGATGATCACCGAGAACAGGATGGCTGCCCCCTCGATCCAGCCGGCTTCTGCCTCCCCTTCATCCTCCGCGCTTTGTGCAACCTGACCACATAGCTCATTTTCTCCACTGGGCGGGCAATAGAAGGACAGGACCAAGGAGATGATGGCCGAGATCTCCAGGATGATGAGGGTGACGTCTTGAAGGGTTTCCCACACCAACTCCAAGAAGGTCTTGGGCTTTTTTTGGGGGGGATCAGGTTCTGCCCAAACACCTGCCTGCATTTCTCCAGGTCAGCAGGGTTCCCAGAGAGACCTTCCACGGGGGAGGTTTTCTGGCGACTGCAGAGGTTCTGCACGCCTCCATACTGCACGTTGATCTGGGTCACTGCATCACTTGAACGCAGCTCCATGAGCTTCCTCAGGTCCATGAGTGTGCAGCCAAAGTCCCCTTCGTGACTCTCTGCCACGGAGTTGGCCAGCAAGGCATGTTCTGATGGGTTCATCATTTTGCCGGCTGTTACCAAGCCCCTCTACCAGACCAGAAGTGGGGTTTCCCTTTAACTGTTCGGCGTCTCCTGTCCCCCTGTTCCCGCGTCTTCCTCCTTCTTGCTTCTCTGGGGGCCCTGTCGGGAAACAGACCACCTCTATCTTGTGCAATATGCTTCAGAGGAGCAACGCCAAGTCCAGATCTTCTCTTCTGTGTGAGACTGGCAGTTGAGAGGAGGAAGAAGGGGAAGGGGGAACTGAGTAGAAGCCGGACGTCGTGTCACAATGATTGGGGTCCCCAGGTGGTGATGGAGTGGTTGACCAGGATAGGTAGGTTCCTAGCTTAGACTGACTTGCCCAGATGGAGGTACAAACAGGATGTGCACGTTACCATGGAGGCAACCTTAGCAACAACCAGCAACTGCGGTGGTAGAGTGGCAGCAGGAGGAGGAGGAGGACGAGGAGGGCTCCCTGGATACTGAGGACAACTGGATCTCTCGCTCCAGCCTGGAGGAACGCGGCGCAGGGGAGCCGGGCGGCTGCTCAGGCGTCGCCGCGGCGGGGGGATGCGGCCCCCGGGGGAGTTCGTGGCCGCCTAGTGGCCCCCGGCTCCGGACGGCGTCAGCAGCCGAGCTCCGAGCCGAAAACGCTTGTCATGGCAACGGCTCCAGCCAACTCGGGCCAGACCCGGGCCCGCCCGCTGGCCCCTAGCCGCGTGCGAGGAGACGGGCCTTATTTTCTTTCAAACCTCAGTTGCAAATGAATAACATCAGATAGAGGACTTAAGGAATGGTTGTACTATCTGTACATTTACACTAGAAATAGAAAACGGAAGAAGCTGATGGTATATGTGCCAGTTGTATCTCTACTGCCCTATTCTGTTTCATATACTCTGTGCATGCTTCTACCAGCTTCATGCAGCTGTCACTGGGCAGTGCCTTGCCTGGCTTGCTCCAGGTACCTCTGGCTTCCTGCCATGGGCCTCTCTTGTGCTGCAGTGTGATACCTGAGGTTACCCATCGTGCTCACACACCTGCCACATGAAACTGCAACCAAAAGAGTCACATCCTGTGAAGCCACTCTTGACAGATGGCAGACCAGAGCTGTTGGTAAATGCTACCCCTCCCATCCCCTGGGAGCACAGTTCTGAGCCTCGTGTCAGAACTATACTGAAGAAATGTCATGGGATGTGTTGGTCACAGCATTCAAACTTCCAGTTATAAGATGCCTGAGTTCTGGGAAATCTGATATATAACATGGTGCCTATTAAAAGAAAAGAAAACCTTTAGAGCATAATGGAAGAAAGACAATTTGAGAATCAGGCAGCCTCAGAATCAGAACAAATTCAGAGAACTCTGCCCTACAACAGAATAGATAGAAATCAGAAGTGAGGCGCAGAGACAGCCTGACTGGTTGTAGCTTGGTCTTTGCCTTATTTGAACATGGTCTGATCAGTTGGCCTCCTGCACTTGACTGAAGCTCAGCTGCTTATTGCCAAAGTATGCAGTAGTTAATAATACTGTATTGTGGGGCCGGCGCTGTGGCGCAGTGGGTTAAAGCCCTGGCCTGAAGCGCCCGTTTCCCACATGGGCACCAATTCTAGTCTTAGCTGCTCCTCTTCCAATCCAGCTCTCTACTATGGCCTGAGATATCAAGTAGTAGATGGCCCAAGTCCTTGGGCCCCTGCACCCACAGGGGAGACCTGGAAGAAGCTTCTGGCTCCTGGCTTCGGATCGGCGCAGCTCCAACCATTGCCGCCCTCTGGGGAGTGAACCAGCAGATGGAAGACCTCTCTCTCTGTCTCGACCTCTCTCTGTAATTCTTTTAAATAAATAAAATAAATCTTAAAAAATTAATACTGTATTGTGTACTTGAAATTTCCTGGGAGAGTAGATATTAAGGATTCTAGCCACAATGAAAGGGGTAGCTGGCTATGGGAGAAGGTGGATATGTCAATTAGCTTGATTGTGATAATCCTTTCACAATGAATAAATCCTGGATCATTTGGCACCATGCTTTTGCATCAGCTCAGCTCTCCGGCTTCTCCTGTTTTTTTGCCCTAGTCCCTCACTGTTGTCCATGGGATTAGGATCCCTTCTGGCATGAAAATTACCTGCACAGAAGACTTCGCCTTAGTCTCTGCCTTCAGGGGAATCTACAATAAGGTACAAATGGCTTAACCAGTTTAAAAAATGCTCAGTTCAACCAACTGTAGAATTTAGGCCTCTGTTGCTACAAATTTTCTCCTTTGGAGAGGAAAGAGTTGGGGAATGCAACAAGTATCCACCTAGGCACAGAGAAATTCCTAGGGCAATACAGAGATGTGTTAGCAAAACAAAAGATTTACAAAACTAATCACTATCTAATGAATGAAAGCAAATCAGTAACTGTGATAAAATCTCCAGAGCAGAGGAGGGAGAGGAGAAGTGAAATGACTTTAGCAAATGTAGATTTAATAATTTAGCAAGATAAGATAATTAGGCATCATCCACTGAACTGTGGAATGGGGGAGGGGTGGAAAGACTGTCACAACTTTGAGGTCAAAGCTCATTTATAAAGTAATTAAGTACCAGGTGCTGGTATTGCCCAAGGAATTTAATTTTTTTTTGAATGTTCATCAGTGACTCAACTCTGGAAAAACTAGTTATGGGTAAGTTTAAAGTCAAGTTGGCTGTAAGTGATGCAATGGTGCATTTGAGTTCTGTTTCACTTTGAGACTTAGTGGGTACCTGCAGGATGAGAGGTCCTGTGATCCTGCCCTCCAGCCTGTCTGCTGTTGACCTGCAGAGACCTGGGCAAAGGAAGCCTACAGTTTTCCACCACTTTATAGGAGTGAGCGAATGCATTTCACTCTGGGCTGACATACCAACATGAGCATCTGGCACCCCAGTCTCATGTCAGCGAGGGTGTGACAAAGCAAGGGATGCTTCGGCATCCTTACGTCTGGGTATCTGAATCCTGCTTCTAATCTCCCAATCAGTTCCCAATGTGGAAGGATTTGAGAGATGTTATTTTTTGAGCTTCCTCAGGTTAAAAATCACCTCCTGTGTAAAGGACACTGATAAGTGTTGAGGCTTCAGAGTGTGAAAGTTCCTTAAAGCCAAAGGACTCTATCCCATCACTGTCACTTTGAAAGATGAGTTGACTGAGTGTATACGGCTAACTCCTGAGTCAGCTGAGCACAGCAGTCTGCCGATTGCCACAAAACAACAGTACCCTGCCACCTCCTACCTGCTGTTCTCTGTCATCCCGTCTGAAGGGTTCCGTAACAAACGACTTAAGATCAGACTCCCTCTCTGCTTTGGTTCCTTAAAAATCCACCTTGCCTGTCCCTTGTTGTAGCACAGCTTGAGTGTGCACTTGATGGTGTGCCTGAATTGCAATTCTGATACTTAAACACTTCCTCTGCTTGTATTATAGCCTGGGTCTTTTCTGATTGATAAGACAATGTCGAGAAAAAGCTTTAAGAATCTCCAGAAGGTGGTGTCACCAGGAAGTGGTGGGCCCACTAATCAGGACAGGAGACTTCAATGAAAAGGATCAGAACAAATCAACCTTATTATTTTTTCTTATTAATGCACACATTTTTGGGTGATGTTGTGATTTTTATATCCATTGTTTTTCCTCCTAGTTGAAAATATTTTAGTAACAAGTTGTTTTAATGATATAATGTCCTAATGTAATGTACTAATAATTGATGTTTTTCACATACAGAATAGTGACTTCTAGGTATAAGAATATATCATATACTGATCAAGGAATTTTTAAATTAAAAGAGTAAAAAAGTAACAAAAAGCACCACCCTATTTCCTTCCTGTCTTTACTCCCAACCCCATATGCATGTTTAATGTGTCTTTGAGGCTTGTTTGATTTAAACACAGTTATAAGAATTGCATAATTTCTGTCTAGAAGTTTGCTGCTTAAAGTATTCATAAGAATAATGTCATGATATTGCATGATTTTCATAAAGACATACTATATGGCTGAGATTTTTAAACAAGTTATTTATCTGAGAGGCAGTGTGTGTGAGAGAGAGAGAGAGAGAAAGCACACAAGATGGTGCTCCTGGGACTGGCACTGTGGTGCAGTGGGTTAACACCCTGGCCTGAAGTACTCGAATCCCATATGGGCACCAGTTCAAGACCTGACTACTCCACTTCTGATCCAGCTCTCTGCTATGGCCTGGAAAAGCAGTAGAAGATAGCCCAAGTCCTTGGGCCCCTGCACCCATGTGGGAGACCCAGAAGAAGCTCCTGGCTCCTGGCTTTGGATCAGTGCAGCTCCAGCCATCATGGACAGTTGGGGAGTAAACCAGCAGATGGAAGACCTCTCTCTCTCTCTCTCTCTCTCTCTGCCTCTCCTCTCTCTGTGTAACTCCGACTTTCAAATAAATAAATAAATCTTTAAAAAAAAAAAAAAGATGGTGCTCCTATCCACTGATTCACCCCTCAAATACCTTCAATGGCCAAGGCTAGGTCAGAGCCTGGGG